CACTGAACTCGAGATATCCAGAAGAAAATGTATTTTAGATGCATATGTACCATAACTTTGCACAAGGTGCTAACAATAACACAATTTTCAATGTGTTTTTGAAACTGAATGGAAAATGATGGAATGTATTTTATGGTACATGCAGTCAGAAGTGTCAAATGAATACACCAGTTATTTGTGAAAAGATATACTAACATTATGCCAATTACATTTCTCATTGAGAAAATGCCTAATACCGGTCCCGGAAACCGGTACAACGTATGTGTATTTTTTGTAAAAGCGCCATCAACCTCAACTATTCAAATCCTTTTGTTTATATTTCTAACCTGTAGCAAATATTGTAGCACCACCATCCTCAATAGTCAAATAACCTGCGTTCTTGTTTTCCCTTTCATAACTCTGTGTGTGTGCGTGTGTTCATGCAAGATAATTAATTGCAAATTAGCTACGTAATATGCATGTACATAGCGCTAGAATTACTGGTAATCGTGTCTGGACATTACCTCAAGGTACCACAATTAATCAAAGTCCACTAGGAAGTTTGTGAGATTATGCTTACACAGACTAAAATAAGATAATATGCACTGACATGGCCCCAAAACTAACCATGTCTGCATATTATCCCAAGGTACTTGTGTACTAAATTGAATCAAGGTCTGCTAAAAAAAAATGAGATTTTGTTTACACAAACAGACATATCAAACTTGTCACCTCCTTTATGCGTTTCACACAAACATGATGGGGATTAAAAAACACCTGCATGTATCGTCATCCACTTGAATGGTTCCGCATTCTTTCATCTCACTCTTACATAGACAGACAGACATATCAAAAATGGCCGTTATTCGGCCATCTTGAATCAGACCGTGAAACAAATTGATGTGCACATGTATAATATTATGTAGGGGATTAGTGAAGTTTGAATGTACTGGTAATCAGTCCAGGCATGTCTAAGATACAGGTCTGAACGCACGCACAGAGGACGATCCATAAAACCCCGTTTTTGGACTGCGTCTGAGCGGAGACTAACAAAATACAAGGTATAAATTATCTCAGGTAGTTTTTAATTTTCTATGAACAGTCTTTTAAATAGATCAAATTCTGGAATAGTATCAAACAAATGGTTTGCTGATAATATTTCATATCGAGGTACCAGTAAGGAAACCTTGCTGTAAACTACAACAACAATGAAAAAACAAATTGTATCTATTAAATAGTTTCTTAGTAACGACATGGTCAGTGTACAAACAACGACATCACTTGGATTCATCTTGAAATTCATTTGGATTGACATCATAATCAACCATTTTCTCATTCAAGTAATACCACCATCCAAGAAAGCCAATGTCCACAATTCTTTCTTCAAAGCCCTTCCACCGTGGTTGTAAATATTTACATCTAGCATCGTACAACGCACACTCTTTAGTGTAGTTGTCTCGCCACATTATTGAGAAAAAGACAAGATTCCATCTTCGAAGAATTCCTTCATTGCCCCATTTTATAATATTTTGCATGTGTTGGTCCGCTTCAGGATTTCTTGTCATGTTACTGACGAGCAAAAGATCATTAGTTGCATCAACAACCTGAGAGTTGAAGGATTCTTCATCCGGGTTTTTGTAGAATGCATAGCCCAAGAAAATTGCACTGGAGATATAGAATGTGGCTTTGAATGGACGTTCCTTACAATCTGTGACGGTGTCTACAGCAACAGCTTTATAATCACTTAGAAGCATTTTTGTGTACTTCACTATAGAAAAACAAAGTAAACAAACCATTAGTATACATAAGTTGCAACAGGTCCAATGTGATCTATTATTTTATTTGTTTATTTATTTATTTACTGCTGTGTGCATATTGATCTGCATGTATGTTGAGGGCATGCAGATGCCACACAAGTCAAGCCATGCCAATTATTTATTTATTATCGAGTTGGTTATTTATTTTATTTATCAAGTTGGTTTTGTGTCAACTTTCAATTTTGCATATCCATTGCAAAGGTCTTTAGGGAGGGGGTGTCAATGAATCCAGAATTGGTTTTGTGTGATAATTGGTCTAGCATTATCAAATAGCATTAACAGGAAGTCCACGACCAGGGTGACAGTGTGGCTTATGGGTAGGAAAGCAAAATTGACACTGATCATTTTGAGTTTTGACGAAAGATTTTTACGATTGAGATGAACTAAAACATCCCTTCTAGGGGTGTATTGTTAATAGGTAGAGTGCTTTTTTAAAAAAAAATAACATTTCTTTTTTGTAAAACCACTGAACAAAAATGTTAATGTGGCAATCAAAAGTAGTATAGCCCTACCAAGTGGACGGTGGACTGTGAAATCATGGTGAAATCAAGATTGATGTTTTTGAATGACAATGACAGTTTCACTGCTGGGTTAATGGATTATATTTATCATACATGTATTAAAACAAAAGTATCAGTAGTACACTCATACTTGTGGTTTGTGTGGAATCTGCTTGCCTTCAGAATGTAAACATATGTAAATTTTGTCAAATCAATGCTGTATTTATTTATGCACCTAACCTTCAAATTGCACCCATACATACATGAGAATTTTGTCGTGATCTCGTACACTTGGTAGACCCATTGAGAAAATCAAAACATATGACAAAGTAATATTCTGCACACACACAGACCATGCACAGACATCTCAGAACACGTGCAAGCTTAGGAGGGGGGTAAATGTATAAAGAAAACAAATACAGATCGGGCCATTTTACTTACCAGAGCGTTCCCAAAACCTTCCTATGACACCTGTTTTGAGTCTTTCAGTAAATTTAACGGAGGGTTGACCTACTGCCTTCGCTTTTCTTGATTTTGACAACCCACTGAAAACGCTCATTTTTCTTATGAGCGCGGCCATCTTTGTATTTGCGCCCTCATCGTCAAATGTGCCACTTGTCAAAACAAGATTATTCCACTATATAGTCAACATTCAACGAAAAATGTCAGATTTAATGAATATCGCCATTCTATCTTTTTTCTGATCATGTAACACTGCTTTTTTAAACTCACCATAGTATGACATTTCCATTTGAAAAATAGTACGTTTTAGCGCCCTCTGGAGATAAAAATGGGAAAGAAATACGCCGCCATTAGCATCTAGTGTATGGTCCGAAAAAGGATAACCAATTTTCTTAAAAATGGAAGGTCTTCCAACGGTTCCGGAAGGTATACGCTATTAATTATTGTTATATTAGAACATTTTGTTTTACGTTGTTTTATGTCCATCGTTCACACAATGAGTCATCGGCTCTCTATCAGACTTTTCTAGTAAACACTGTCAATTGTTTTTCAAGTTGCCTTGTAGTGATTCTGATATCTTGTATTCACGTGTGTTGCGATGTGTTTTGTTGTAGTTATGTCATGAAATTACATAGGTATAATGACATCTCCCCTATTTACACTCGTGTTTGTGTTGTTCATATCCAAATCTCAATACATTTTGCTGAAGGGTTTCTCTTCCCACTAGTTTAGCAGTTTACCTCTGCAGCCAGTAGGGCACTTTTCCCAAATCTGGAAAATTCATCAGATCGAGAAACAAATGTAGGTCTTGCTTGATCAGAAATAATTCAATACGGAGAAACACCCAAGAATGTGCAATTTTAGCCTGCTTACTTTTCTATTTTGTGTGTCCTCTCATATTTTTTTATTTTATTAGTCTTGAAATGTTGCCTTTATTTTCCTCATTAAGAGGCAGTGGTCGTGGCAAAGCGCAGCACATGTTTAAATTTCCTGTAAACAAACAATGTATTTTACATGTGTTGTGTATGTCGCTACAAGTCCCATATCGAACACGTGCTGCACAACCATGTAAATTTATTGTAACGTCCCATCTATTGTATGGAAAATTAGCATATTCAGATTTGCAGCATGCCATATTATAAAAAAAGCCTATCAACAGTCATATTCTGACTGCAGAGGAATATTGCAACAGCAATTTTAAGACTATTATGAGAGGACCCACAGACGCCATTTTTCCAATTTATCTTGGCTTTCAGCAGACAATGTATACACCAGGCTAGCGCAATTCATAGGGACTACATATTTAGGGCAGTCCAACAGTAAAATTTACTTTTATTTTGACAGCGGTTTACCAAATCATGTTTTTTTTTATACAGGAATAAAAAGGGTAAAAGTCTTGTTACTGGGGAAAACATTTTTTACACCTAGAAAATTTGTTAAGCACTATTTGGGAGACTGTCACTTATTTGGAGATAATCTCCAATTTGGGAAAAAGTGCATTTGCTGGTAGTGGAGTCCTATTTTTATGATCATGATATTACGTTGGACTGTATTAAAGAATCGAAAACATTTTTAGCAAAGTATCTATGTGTGATGACTTAATTCAGGTGAATCATGCAAGATAACTGGTAATTTAAAAGATAACCGAAAAACAGAATAATATTACTGTGACAGTGTGTGTTGATTTCTACATTCTAATCATTTAAACAATTGTTGACTGATTATTATTTTTTTTTTAGCGCTATAGTTTTATACCAGTGTTTTTGGAAATATGTTTATATTTTCTTGAATTCTTAGAAATTTTTGCTCCTTGCGTTGATAAATATTTTGCAAAACAGTGGCTTATGGATACATAGGAGTCATGAAAGCCTTGTGTGGTATACATGAATTATATACCTAAATAGTCATTAATTCAAATGGCAGTTTTTACTTTGTATGAGCTTGTGCAATAAAATCTCGGATTTAGTGGTGTAACGCACCATCTGTAGATAATCTTTAGATCATGGCAAGATTAGAACATTTTGACCAACCACAAATGGTGTACCTTTAAGCAGTCTGATCTACACGCTAGAGAACTTTGAATAGAGGTGATTTCAATGAGAGCTGATTTCAAATAAAAAAAGTTTTGTTTATGAATATTTATAGGCATATACATGTACATGGGTTTCTTGATTTTGGTGTAAAAACAAGAGTTTTTCTGAAAAATTTGAACTACAGTAAATAGAGTGCAATGAATTCAAATTCCAATGGTTACTAGATGAAAAATGACAACTTTATAAAGACATCTTGTGCTTGTGTAATTCTGTTGAAAGTTTTCTTTGTTCCAGAATTTTTCTTGTCAGTAGAAAAGTCATTCACAATTATTACTACTGGTATATCATTTCAGATCATGAACAGAGAAACATCATTGACAAGTTGGCGCAGTTTGTAGCACGAAATGGACCGGAATTTGAACAGATGACCAAAAACAAACAGAAGGATAACCCTAAGTTCAAATTCCTCTTTGGTGGTGAACACTTCAACTATTACAATTATAAAGTGTCTACTGAACAACAGAGTGAGTAGAATTGGGATGTTTTGTAATATACTGTAGTATTCTGTGATGTTTTGGGGACTACTTTATTTCTTGTGTGCTATGTTTCATTGGATCACCTGTATGTATTATGTAGAAATTAGTGTGGTTGGTTGAGCTCAAAATAGCGGAATATACAATTTAAGTTAATTGTGAATTGGATAGGGACCCTGGCCTCTACTCTACTATTTCAGATAAACAAAGTGTATTAGTCTGTATTCTGACGAAGTTCAAAAACAGGAACTAAAACAAGGACATTTGTGTGTATGTCTCCACCAGTATCTCAAACATGTCTAGACTGATGATATTAGAACTTCACACATTTTGTGCTAAAAATTCATCAAAATAAAGGATTTCTGCCATTCTGGAACTGAATCTCAGTCCATGCTTGTTTTCAAATTTGTCAAGTTGTCACTGATCATATTACAGTTGTGATTTGAATCACAATATTGTATGTTGCAGTGAATCAGTTTTGACTAATGATCTTGTATCACATTTTGATTTTTAGTTTTAAGACAACAGAAACAGAAGATGGAACAACAGCAGCAAAGGATACAGGAAGTCATAACACAACAGTCAATCCAAGCTGCTCCATGGCAACCACATGTACATCAACAACAACACCAACAACAACAACAGCATCAGCAGCATCAACAACAGCAACAACAGCATCAACAACAACAGCAACAACAGCATCAACAACAGCAACGTCAGCAGCAGCAGCAGCAACAACAACAACAACAGCAGCAACGTCAACAACAACAACAGCAGCAACAACAACAGCAGCAGCAGCAGCAACAACAAATTCAAGAACAGATTCAACAGAGTCAAAGCAACTTGGTTAAACAACAACAGCAGCTCTTGAAGCAACAACAGGTAAGATAACATTGAATAGCTGCTGTTTTACACATAGCTGCTTGGCAGTCAATGTTCCCATATAGAGTTTTGTAAGCATTTTACAAGTGTTTGCATCTGTGTATGGAGATTTAATGGGCATGATCATAGTTCAACTTTAGCAATGGTGAAAACTATTCTCGATAATATTTTCAGTTTTATTTGTTTGTTTTTATTTGTTTACAAGGAACAAATTGAGACATCGATATTCCAAGCAAAGAATGATAAAATTCAATCTATGGCTGAAGAACTGGAAATAGATTTTGTAGATTTTGATAAAAAATTACAACCAATCATTGACACATGTACTAAAGATGCTATATCGGTAAGTTTTGTTAAATACAAATATTTCTTACAATGTGATCTGACATGGCTGATTTCAAAATGGCCACTATATGATTCGACATGGCTGATTTCAAAATGGCCGCCATATGATTTGACATGGCTGATTTCAAAATGG